CCCTCCCTCCACCTCCCACATGATGTTGTAGGTGGAGGAAGGGGTGTGTGGGAGGGAATAAACCGCGCAGGATGTTAGTCGAGTGAGTTGGAAGTCTGCACGCCCACACCCGCCCACACCCCTGCCCATCACCAGGACCACACACTTGTTCTCTTGCTCACCCTTACTGCCTCTCTCTCTCTCTCTCTCTCTCTCTCTCTCTCTCTATCTCTCTCTCTCTCTCTCAGAAAATTTCAGAATCTGCCTTTCAAGGGGCACCTTGATGTTGGTCAAGAAGTTGTGTATCCCTTACGGATTTAGCGCTTATTCATAAAAAATAAATCATCTTTGATATTAAGCTTGAAAACAAGTATGAGCTTTAAGAGGAGTTTCCGGAGGCAAACTCAGTACACAGTTTCAAGAGTAGGTATGCGGACCAAGAGACCAGGGGCCAGTAATGGCGTCCAACTGGACGAGCTGAGACTCGACCCCTACAGGCACAACTCTGAAGACTATGGAACAAACCTCTTCTCCAGGCTGAGGGACTGATTACATCATCACATCTCTACTGCTTCTGCAAACTTCTCTGTACTCGACTAAGGAAGCCTACTGCGCAGGCGAAACGTTGTACTTATCACCACAATTCTGAAGGTTGACCTTATTAAAAGGGGTTGTGGTTCAGTGTAATATTTGGTTTACACTGGCTTGAAGATTTGTCCTCGATGCAGGTCACTCTCGCAGATTCTTGTACCATCAGGGAATTTTCATACACTATACGAGAACAAAAAGGCACAATAACGTGACTGGAACAATACACGAATAATCCGCACATTGATAAATTAGATATATGTACAACACTTGGGTATATGTATTGTGGAAACGTTTCGCCACACAGTGGCTTCATCAGTCCAATACAAAGACTTTATTCGGATTATTAACCCGAGAGGGTTAGTAACACAGACTAACCCAAGATAGTCATGACGTGTATTCGTAATTATTGTTTTCAAGGCAGTCTGGTCCCAAATCTGCACACAGAAATCACTCCCTATGAAACCAAAAGACTCTCCAGACGGTGCAACATTCTCTCAGTGACACAAAGAAAACACAGCGAGTGTCCGGAGCTCAAGACTGTTCAACAGCCTCCCATGACACGTAAGGAGATTACCGGTAGACCCCTGGCTGTCTTCAAGGAACTGGACAGATACCTGAAGTCAGTGCCCGATCAGCCGGGCTGTAGTTTGTACGTTAGTTTGCATGAGGCCAGCAATAACAGCCTGGTTGATCAGACCTTGATCCACCGGGAGGCCTGGTCGAAGACTTGGCCGCGGGGGCATTGACCCCCAGAACACCCTCCAGGTAGACATAACATTCGTGTCGGTAGACTGGCAAGTGTTTCTCGTAAAAATAGTTCCTTACTCTGATAGTAACTTTGCGGGAATAAAAGTTAGTAATTTCTTTTGCTGTATCACATCACACAGGATGAGTCACTTACATAAAGTAATGCAATGCGTCAGTGTGAGCCGCGAGGCGTTTTGAAGGTGGGGACCACATCATCACACATTCCACTACGGGTACTGTAGAGGGAGTGGAAAGGGAGGATGGATAGGGAGGATGGAGATGGGAATGGAGGAGGTAGTGGATAAAGACTAGGAGAAAACAGAGGCAAGGCAACACACACTCTCATACAAAGACTGACTTGTGCGTGTGTTAGTTTGTACTCACCATTGTGATTTCAGGGGTCGATTCATAGTTCCTGGCCCGATGTATGTGTTTGTGTTTGTGTGTGTGTGTGTGTGTGTGTGTGTGTGTGTGTGTGTGTGTGTGTGCGCCATATCTGATCTCCAAGCCAAAATACTTTTTATCTGTTGATGGTCTGAGAATCATCGCCCCTGCATCCCAGTCTCAGATCAGACCTAAATTGTAAAGCGAATACTTCAGAACTTAAAAACTATTTGAAAAACACGGAAGTGTAAACTGAATGAAATCGCAGATCTAGAGTGTACAGAGATCCTTTACTGCACGTATAAGTTCTGTCAAGCACCTGAACTACTGGGAACACTTGGAAGCACTTGACTTGTACTCGTTGGAACGCAGGAGGGAGAGATATGTCACAATCTACACTTGGAAAATCCTGGAAGGAATGGTCCCAAATCTGCACACAGAAATCACTCCCTGCGAAAGTAAAAGACTGGGCAGGCGATGCAAAATGCCCCCAATTAAAAGTAGGGGCGCCATTGGTATACTAAGGGAAAACACCATAAGTGTCCGGGGCCCAAGACTGTTCAACAGCCTCCCATCAAGCATTAGGGGAGTTGCCAATAAACCCCTGGCTGCCTTCAAGAGAGCTGGACAGATACCTAAAGTCAGTGCCGGATCAGCCGGGCTGTGGCTCGTACGTTGGACTGCATGCGACCAGCAGTAACAGCCTTGGTGATCAGGCCCTGATCCATCGGGAGGCCTGGTCATGGACCGGGCCGCGGGGGCGTTGATCCCCGGAATAACCTCCAGGTAACCATCTTGCACGTTCATGAGACAGGATGGTGAGAACAACAACCCTGCCAGAATGCAAACTATTTAACAAGCTTCAGGAGGGTAGGGGGAAGGACAGCTGTTTCAGCTGTAGGGAAGGAATAGGTAGATGCAGCAGGGTGTCACTAGTAAGGTATCAGCAGGTTGTGAACAGTGTCAGTAGGGTGTCATAGTAAGATGCCAGCAGGAAGGTGTTAGTAAGACGGTGTTAGTAGTAAAGTGTCAGCAGGAGGGTGTCAGTAGTAGTGTCAGCAGGAGGGTGTCAGTAGTAAATTGTCAGAAGGAGGGTGTCAGCAGGGTAAACAAACTAACATTGTGTGAGGTTACACAACATTAGGGGCGCCACTTGGTGTTGCCAGTTCGCTTTATTCCTCAATTCATCAAATTCCTCTCTTGTAATTTTAAGCAACTTCTCTCCCATACTTCGTGAGTGACAACACTACGTACAAATACGAGTCATCCTTTCTGGATGGACTTAACTAGCCTATATACCAATATTTAATTAAAAATAATCATTGGATATGTAGGAAACATTTGTAATTTAAGCTCCAAGCTCTACATTATGAATTATAAAGCAATGAACGTACAGTAAACATTGTTTAATTCATCCAGGAGCGATGCGTAGACGTCCAGTGCAGTGTCGTAGTTGCTGGTGTGAGGAATGCCTCTTTGTATACACATTATGTTTATGTAATGTTGCAAACACTTGTCTGCGCCATTAATTTTTTTTAGACTCGCTGACTCGAAGTTTTTTTTTATTTTCGTGGAAGACGATTGAAAGACAGTGAAGTCATGTCCTCATTAAGAAGTTGGGAGGTCACTGGCCTTTTTTAGACCATATGTTAAGCAACCTTATGTTCTAACACAATTTCCACTCCAGGGGCATGGCCTGATAATTCAGAACTTACAGTAAATGGTTAGTAGATACGAAATTGTGGTTGAACTTGAGTAAAATGGAAGCCAAACTATTTGGTTCAAGAAGTAAACTGAAAATTGTAATTTCACTGTTCTATGTAACTGGGAACCCAACTCAACAGTAACTTCAGTAAAATATCTAGGAGTATCCTATGATCCATGCTAGTGAACGAAGTATTAAATAAGAAAGTGCAATATTGAAGATCCTCATGTAAGATCCTACGCCTAGCTTATACACTAGCATGTAGGCTACAGAAGAAAACAGATTAGAGAAGAAAACAGGCTACAGAAAAAAAAGACAAACAACTTTAGCCTGTTTACATGAAAACAGGCTAAAGTTGTTTGTCTTGGACTTGTGTCCAGGACAAACAACTTTATTTCTTCGTGTAGTATACAAAATGTAGTTTACATGTATAAAATAGTTAAGCACAACGAAAGTCACTAGTATGCATGTGCATACAGGCCAGAGCTCCTCTAAGTTTATTTCGGCAGAGGTACACCTAAGTACAATTATCATACACAGCGTAAATTACTTAGGATAGCCTCCAAAAAAGTCAAGTGACTTATTTCCATTGGGGTCCTGTCTTGAATAAACCAGTGGATGCTTAACCAGATAATGTTTCATCATTTGACGAAGGCCCGCGTCAGGGGACGCTTGTGCTGACTAGGCCCGTGTGAGGATGTCACGGACGGCTGGCTACTAGGAGAGTCCTGTCTCCTGGTGAAGAGAACACCGCTACAGGGCTGAGGCCCCGTGTTGGGGATGACCCCACTGAAAGTGTCACTACCATTGTACACCCAAATGATACCACCGATGTATTGTAGTCATCACCATCATCTTTATCTGCCTTCCCTTCTTCCATCACTGTCCCTGCTCCTCCATCACTGTCCCTGCTCCCTCCACACTGTCCCTGCTTCCTCCATCACTGTCCCTGCTCCTCCATCACTATCCCTGCTCCCTCCATCACTGTCCCTGCTTCCTCCATCACTGTCCCTGCTTCCTCCATCACTGTCCCTGCTCCCTCCATCACCGTCCTTGCTTCCTCTATCATTATCCTAGCTCTCTCCCTCCGCCACTCTTCCCTCCCTCTCCACCCACCCTAACTTCTCACCAACACAAAACAAAGCCTGGTCTGTGTCCACTCCCATGAGACACTCCACCACCGAGACACATTATCCCATGTCTCACCAGAATACTGACAACACATTACAGGAGTCTCAACACATAATACGCCTTCCTACATGCTCATTATAATGACAAACTCACCAGGTAGGCATCACCGATGAGATTTAAATTCACTAGGTAAGGGATCAACCCATAAGGGGTCTTACAGCGCCTGGGAAAATGGGACGTAATCAGGTTTGATCCAAAGTATTAGAGGATAGCTCCAAGTCCTTGAATCACGAGCCTCTCACCAGTATAAATACTTCCCCTTGGAAGTGTGGGCGAGGTTGTGTAAACACCCAGATAGTTTATATGAATCAAACACAGCTGTCATGGCCTCCCAGCGCAGTTACTGCGGATATTTGATGAAGTTTATAGCTGAAGTGTTAAAGAGTGCTAACACAGTACTCACTGGTGTTAAGATGGTGGCGAGGGTGAGAAAGAAGTGCGGGCACCACCTACGTCTTCCAATAGCAAGATGATGACTGAGGACTCGGGCACCTCTGCCCCTCCCTAACTCCCAGCCAGAACCAGCAATGCCAGGAACCTCCTCCTAGCCAAATTTTCCATTATTTATCCGCCTCCTGGTATACCTACAGCCACTGCTAGGAAAAATACCTTACTTGCACTTGATGAAGCTGGACAATGACTAGACTAGAAGCGCACTATTAGTCGCCAAGCAAAATAAATAATGTAGGCTCCGACATGTGTGAATGCAGCTGGGTGGGCAAGACAGTGGTACAGTCTTCACATAGGAATAATTTTAACAGCCAAGGATTGGGGTCAGGAGGGGAGGGGAAGGCAAAGGAACTTTCTCTCTTATAGACCCTTCAAGGGGAGTGGAGTGCCTTGATTTTTTGATCCAAGGAATTGGGGCTGGCTGAATAGACTGGGCTGCCAGGGTAGAAAAATCTGGAAATCGTCATGGGTATTCTACTCTTCCTCAGATCGAACCTATTACCTCTAATTTCCCAATTATTATACAACCCTTGCTGGTTTAGCGCTTCAATATGAATTCAGTTGTAATAATGTCTAAAATCAAACCAAATCTTCAATTACAAAAATAATTTTAAACCTATGTACGGGACAGTTCTGTGAAAAAAAATGGAGAAATGTCTCATATATCAGGAATACAATAACCTGGGACTAAGAGTTCATACGATACACTGCAGAACTTTCGTACTGTCAAAATTAAATACTCCTCATTGTTAGATAGACTGATAACCTTATTACCCTATATTCATGGTGTAGGGAGTAGTCAAAAGATTACAGAGGGGTACATAATAGGTGCAGACACTGGACCCCAAACACTAGACTGCTAAACAAGTTATCATTGATACTGAACTATTTACATGTTTATATCTGGTTATATTAATGAAAAACTCTAATTTCTATAACATTTTATGTTATAAAAAAGCATTATCACCAAAAATGGTTCTGTCGTACACAGTCTCTTATTAATCTTCCTACGTTATTTAGAGAGTAACATATGTAATATGTACTGTATAAGCGAGTAACATGTAATATGTACTGTATAAGCGAGTAACATATGTAATATGTACTGTATAAGCGAGTAACATATGTAATATGTACTGTATAAGCGGCTATATTATAATAGTTCTTTGGTCTTTTATGTATGATGAGCATCTGTATGCATGATACATAATACATAATTAAGATGGTGTCAGGAGGACTATGTAACCAGATATAAATATCACGGCTCTGAGGCTCCACTGTTTGGATTAGTTGTAGCCTGACTTTGTTGTCAATGTAGACGCTGAGAACACTAAGAGTGCAGGGACTGAGTGTACTGAGAGTGTAGACGCTGAGAACACTAAGAGTGCAGGGACTGAGTGTACTGAGAGTGTAGACGCTGAGAACACTAAGAGTGCAGGGACTGAGTGTACTGAGAGTGTAGACGCTGAGAACACTAAGAGTGCAGGGACTGAGTGTACTGAGAGTGTAGACGCTGAGAACACTAAGAGTGCAGGGGCTGAGTGTACTGAGAGTGTAGACGCTGAGAACACTAAGAGTGCAGGGACTGAGTGTACTGAGAGTGTAGACGCTGAGAACGTGGAGCGTGGAGAGGATGACTGTAGAGTGCAGACCCTGAAAGCACTAAGAGTTCAGAGTTAAATACAATCACAAAATCTGAGAACACTAAGAGTGCAAGGGCTGAGTGCGCCGAGAGTGTAGACGCTCAGAACACAGAGTGCAGAGAATGAGAGTTGTGAAAGGGTGCATATAAAGAATAGGGACAAATGATAAATTGACGAATTATGTATCCTTCATACATCAGCTCGCTCCCTCCTTCACCGTCATCCCTCTGTCCCCCAATCCATCCCTACATCTCCCTCTTTTCATCACACTCGTCCCTCTCTCCCCCTCTCCCATCACTATACTCCCTCCACCATCCTTATCTCCAGCGGATGCCTCCCTACCTCCATCATCACCATTTTCCTTCACACCGTCACACTCATGGTACCATTAATTTCACTATGCCGCACCTCCTGCCTGTTCTGTTGCCTGACGCGGTATTTGGAGAGCTTGACAAAGTACAAAATGAAGAAATGAGAATCACTCTTGTGATAATTTCCTTACGTGCGTAAGGAAATTATTATTCAACGTATCGGTAATCGTGTCAGTGATACTTATGCAGTCAATGTCTTGAAATTCTCGTTCCAACGTATAACTAATTACCCTAACTTGCCCTCTAAGCCTGGTCATGGACCGGGCAGCGGGGGCATTGTCCCCCGGAATACCCTTCAGGTATACCTTCCAGGTAAGCATTTTTTTCATAGCAGTTAATCAGGGTTTTCATTTTATGGGAATTAGATACACAGATGGTCAATGACCTGATCCATGAACAGTCTCTCCTCCAACTTAAGTAACGTGCGTGGAGATATCAACGCTCCCAAAATATTGTTTCACACAGCCAGACATAAACCGCCCGTTTTCTTTATTTTATTCTTATATTTCGTTGTTATCGGTTAATTATGTTAAATTTAGCTTACGCTACGCTAGCGTAACCGAACCTAGCCGACAATAACACATTAATTTTTCGTAGTATGTAAGATGGGACAGAAATCACACAAGATGTTTTTGTCAAATTCCATCACACAGGTGACTTGCAGAATCGTGGTTTTGTGGCATGTCGAATACTGAATGAATGTTCCAAAGACCCCAGTGGAAATAAGTCACTTTGACTTTTTTTGGGGTTATCTTAGGTAATCTACACACATGCTGCTATGTATGATAATTTATGTAACTGTATTTATGTGTACCTGCACCTGAATAAACTTACTTTCGGAGAGCTCTCTAACCGTAGCGCCAAGAACTCCCACCAATGCATTCGTCGCTGATTTTTTTTATATTTTATTTAAAAGAACAGTATACATACGATTCACTTACAATTATAAAAATTATATCACCTTATAAAAATACGGTATATAAAAGGAAAACACAAACAATAACTAACTTAAGGAGAGTACTGATACACATACTCTGTAGAAACTTAACAATACATAACATGAAATAACGCCAAGAAAAAAAACGAAAAAAAACCAAAATGAACAATTCTCTACTAAGGTAAAACTTGATGTCCATTACCATTACTTGATCATCCAAGATACAAAAGCAAAGGTAACATAGTATATTTAATTCCATAACATCCTTCAAACTAAACTTTCCCCTTCCCCAGCCAACCCCTCTTCTTATCTTAGTAATACAATATAATAAAAAAGACTGCGAAGAGTGCACAATAAAATTTTGCGTTAGCCCTAAAAACACATATACAATACTACCCAAAAAAAGTATTAAAACTTACATCACTAATGACATACCAAAATTCTTAAAACATAATACAAAGCTAAAGGCTACAATGTCCTCGTGGTTTACTGTACCGCCACATAAATTACACAGCGTCGTATGATACAACAATTACAAAAACCAGGACCACATCACACAAAGGAACATTAATAACCATACAAGGACAACCAGCTATTCTGTTAAATAAAAAAAGAACGTACAATAATACAATTAATTAGTAAGAACATTATATATATATATGTATCTCGTAACCTTGTAACAGTTTGGTTTCTGATAACGAGATTCACCGAAACAAAATTATCGTGGTTATAAAAGATTTCCCTATCACATGTAAACATAACCAAAGTGGATCCAATTGGATCTAAATATAACTTCTCTGTCTTTAAGCATTAAATAAAGATATCTCGTGAAACCCTAAACAGGACATGTTACACTCTCCATATAAAAAAAACCAACAAACAGCATATGACACTGGTAAAAACATAATCCCACACAGGAGCTAAACTCCTGAAACCGTACATAACACCCATAGTAAGTAAGTAAGTAAGTAAGTAAATTTATTCAGGTATACACAATACAGTTACATAGAATTATCATACATAGCAGCATATGTGTAGAGAACCTAGGATAACCCAAAAAAGTCAGACAGAGTGACTTATTTCCATTGGGGTCCAGGCAGAGACTTACTACCTCAAGTACTAAGAGCCATCATGGCCCCTGACACTTCAGAAAGCCCCCTCTGTCAGCCCCTGACCCTATATTAATCCCAAACCTCACACTCCAATCTAAACCCAAGCCTATACCTGAAGTCCAAAGTCAAAACCCCAGCCTCTTATAAGCCAAAGTCTTCCGTCCTCCCCCCACTATACCCCCTCATGCACAACAACTGCACAACATGGAGGGTGTTTGGGGGGTCAACGCCCCCGCAGCCCATTTCTTGACCAGACGTACAGTGAGGTCTCAAAATAAAGTAATATAATGTGTCATCGTGATCTGGGAGACTTCGGTAGCGAGACGAGGATACCGTTAAGCATTTTACTATTGATACGGAAGCTATTGCAGCTCTAAAGATGTCGTTGCAACAAAGTTGGATTGTCGTTTACATTAACACAATGACGCTAGCATTTTGGATGGCATTTCACATACAGAATGGATGAGAAATAAGTTACCCTGACTTCTATCGGTTATCCTGGGTTCTCTACACATATGCTGCTATGTATCATAATCTATGTAACTGTATTTGTGTATACCTGAATAAATTTACTTATTTACTATGAACAGCATATCAAAATCCATTATCGCAAGATGGGGTTGCGAGACACGAGTTCAATTAGCAATGCAGATCACTTATTATTATTATTATTATTATTATTATTATTATTATTATTATTATTATTATTATTATTATTATTATTATTATTATTATTATCATTATTATTATTATTATTATTATTATTATTATTGCACTCATTGGAGGGCCGAGCCTGAGGGAATTATACAGCACCTGGGGAATGAGAGGCACTCAGGTTCGATTCAAGGAAGGAAAGCACAGGTGCAATTCCTTTGATCAAGAGCCCCTTCAGCAACTTAAGGAAACGTCCCTTGAGGAGAGACAAATAAAAATATTAAATTACTTTGGTTACCCATTTAATATATATCAATTTTCTGTCATTGTCACAGAAAACGAATTTTTAGACAGTGACTGAGGCAATTGTGTTAATACGATTTCGTGAG